TAATTGGCTTAAATCAATGTTGATTTATCATAATAATGTTAGTCTAAGCTGACGAACTCTTTTAAACGAATATAATATTTTTATTTACTTATTATTAAATAAATATGTTACTTTATTCAAATTATTATTTATTTAATATATTTAAATTAAACTGATATTTTAATTAATATTTTTATTGTTTTTTTTAGAATATAATTGAGAAAATAAATCGATTTTAGAATTATCAATCGAACTTTTTTTAATATATTTTAAAAAATTCTAAATAATTAAATCTATTGTTGACAATACTTTGATTAATAAAATAGTTTAAAAAAAAAAACAAAAAAAAACTAAGTAAATATATTTAAGATATAATTATATGAATGAACAAGTTGTCTAATAAATTTCTATAAATAAATTTATTTAAAAGATGAATGAAATTTGTAAGGAGTTGAATTGAAAGATAATTGTTCATCTTTAAATAGTGCATATATATCTCTTTGTAAATGATGTTTACGATGTTTAAAATAAAATTCATTTATATCTTCATCAGTTAAAGGTCCATAAATAATTGGTTGTTTTGGATGAAGTGCATAAAATTTTTTGGCGCCAAGAATACGTTTCATATATTGAAAAATATCTTGTTCAACAGTTTTAGGTGTTCCCCAATTCGTATATTCAAAAATAACATGATCTATAAGATTTAGACGAAAGAATTTTTCAGTTGATCGAAATACATGTAATTCATGTCCTTGAACATCAACTCGAAGTAAATAAATTGGTGATGAAAATGGATAATCATTTAAATTAATTGTTTGACCAAAATAAATATTTTGATTACTAAGGTTATTATTAGAAGGTAGTTGACTACTACTATTTTTACTAAAATAAATAGTCATATTCGATTTTATATCACTAACAGCTTTTTTTATTAAATTAATACGTGATTCAAATTTATTAATTGATATAGATTTTTCAATTAACGAAATTTTTTTTGGTTCTATTTCAAACATATAAACTTGACATCCACACGCGGCAGCATACAAACCAAATTCTCCTGAAAAAAATCATTATTTCTTTTTTGCTATTTTAACAAAATATCATTTTAAAATCTATATAAATAATTACCTAAAGAAGCTCCTATATCAAAAATAGTTGTATTTGGATATTTTTGACATTTTTCGTAAAGATTTAATTGATTGATTAATATTGTTTGTGCACGATTTCGTTTTAAAGGAAATTCATATCCTTCATATGTAACTAATTTATATGTTGGTTGGCGATC